GCAAAATCCCAGCCAACAACAAAGTTTTCCATTATCAGATTGTTCTAGCCAACAAGCTGATCAAAACCAAGAGGTGCGACTACATACTGATTTCTTCCTTTAGAAAGTCCAACAGCAGCAATCTGCCTTTTCTCAATAAGTCAAAACATACTCTGCTTGCTTCCTTCTTGTATAGAAATTTACGTGGCCTCTTGCAGTTTGCATTATCAATCGTACTTTCAATATTTTTCATGAACATAAATGATAAATTAATCCATATAGGCACCTGGATATTTATTGGAAGAACCATATGGGCTTTGCTTGCGTTTCGCTGAGCTCATTTCCAATCTCTGCTTTGAACTAATGTACAAAAATGAGAGTTCCCTTGCAAGGGAACAGAAACTGTCACCTCAAGTTTTTTGGGGGGGGTAAATAACCATGTAACTTTCTATATATTTAATTGAGCTAGAATACATGATTGGCTCATGAACTATTAAAAAATGTTTAAATAAGTGTTTTTCGTTTTTATCTGTTCAAATTTGTTCTGTACTTTCAAAAGTGATTCCACTCCCCATTAAAAGCCACTAATGCGTTCCGGCATTTGTACATGGGATCTCTGACATGGCGTGGACATTGCTTTTCTGCTACCTGGACGCCCAAAATAAAAAGCCCCAAACTTCCCTCCTCACCCTCCTTTTGTCATTGATTGAAACACTCTTAGCCCTAAGCAAGAATATCTTAAATCTCTTCTTTTCATCAACTGAAAGCATATCTCTTCTCTTCCTCGTGGAACTGTTCGCCTTTCATCAAAGATCTTGAACATTCTTCCTCCTATGCATGACCTCCAAAAGTTTTGCCCTCTGGTCAGCGTTCTTCCTCCCTTTTCATTCACTTTGTTTACAAATATGCGTCAAGATATTGACGTGCTGTTGAAACAATTGTGATATCAGGTTTATGTATGTGTGAGTGGTTTACTGTTCATATGCATGTTCTGGGTTTCGCTTACTAGGAATCCAACATTCTTCCCTTATCAAGTATAACAAAACTTCAGGTGTGATCCCCGTGAATGAATGACTGAATAAAAAAAAAATGTTTGTGTTCATAATCCCCAATGCATGACATGTTTTTGTGTTCATAATCCCCATCACAAAGTATGCAGTAG